AATCATTTAGAATCCCATATATACGAGATTCTAAATGACTTTTCCACTCCATTGGGAATCACAGATGGGCTTTCTTTTAAATTGAATACTTTAGGTCTTTCTCTTGATTTATACATATATTTTTCTCTTCATAGGAGTTATTTTATACAGAAATCTTGTGGTACCATTGCACAGAGTGATGATTATACAAAGAGTGGTACTGAATTCCCGACCTGGTATGTATTCTTCTGTGGTGAATGAACAGTTGTGTTCTCTGATCACTTTTTAAAAAATATTCTTTTTTTTTTTTTTTTTGGTTTTTTTGAAAAAAGTTTTTCCTATACCCCCAGCTGGCCTGGATTTGCTATGGAGACCAGGCTGGCCTCGAACTTACAGAGATCCCCCTGCCTCTGCCTCCCGAGTGCTGGGATTAAAGGCGGGTGCCACCATGCCCAGGTTAGAGGAAACTTTAAACAATGTAACATTCAGTTTTTCAAATGATAACTTTTTAAAGCCATTCATTGATGAGATAAGGTATTTTTGAATCATAACATTTGAGACATTATTGAACATTATATTGGAATTTAAAAATACATTGTTATTTTATGTGTATTAGTGTATTGCCTACGTGCATATAAGTGTACCCATGTCATGCAGTGTCCAAGGAGGACAGAAAAGGCATCAGATCCCCTGGAACTGGAGTTATGGATGGTTGTTAGCTGACATGTTGGTGCTGGGAATCAAACCCCAGTCCTGTGCTCTTAACTACTGAGCCATCTTTCCATCCCCCTATATTGGAATTTTTAAGACTTTAAAAAGGCCAGGTATGGTGGTGCATGCCTTTAATCCCAGCACTTGGAAAAAGAAGCAGGGGAGATCTCTATGAGATTGAGGTCAGTCTGGTCTACATAGCGAGTTCCAGGCTAGCTGGGGCTATAGGGAGACCCTCTCTCAAAAAAACAAAACAAAACAAAACAACAGAAAAACTAAAAAAACCAACCAACAAGAAGACTTTAAATACAAAACAACAAATATTCATTTAAGCTAGGCGTGGTAGTGCATGCCTTAAATCCCAGAACTTGGGAGGCAGAGGCAGGGGGATCTCTGTGATGTGAGATCCAGGCCAGTCTGGTCTACATAGTGAGTTCTAGTCCTGCAGGGGCTACACAGTGAAACCCTGTCTCAAAACAAAACAGAACAAAGGAAAAATTCATTTAAGTCTCTGCTTGCTTCTTAAAATGAGGATAGAAGCTTACCAAACTTTCACTTTCTGTGTTCTGCCACTTTGTAAATTTTAATTTCATAACTAAAAGAAAAGATTGTGATTTTTTTTAACTTTCAGAATCCTCCTATATTTTTTAAAACAGAAGATGGGATTTATCTATAATCATCTAAAAAGCAAAATTAGAAGTTTATGACAATATTTCAGAAGAATTTGGAGAAAATCAAGAGTCATGGGAATTATTTGAAAATTCATGCTGAGTTATTCATGCCTTAACTAAAAGGAAGTGTTTTAAATCCTAGGATGATGTTTAGAAAATAGTAAGCATATAAGAAAGTAACTTTTTGAATTCATATTTTTGCTTGATAATTTAGGAAAAAATGGAAATCCTGTGGCAGAAAACTTCAGAATGGAAGAAGAAGTCAGTGTACCAGGTAGTGTCAATGAAGGACAAGTGCAAGTTAGAACGCTTTATCTTTCTGTGGATCCTTACATGGTAAGAATCAGGAGTTGTGAGTTGGTGAAAAATAATTTTGTTTTCATATTTTGATGGTGTTGTATCAGTTTTTTTTTTTCCAGCGGAATAGAGTTTATTAGCAAAGGTATATCAATTTTATTGTGGGATGTGTATGACTGATAAATATTTGAGAAATTATGTCTGTGAACTACAAATAATCTTTATTGTTATTTACTGGTGCTATTAAAGAATATTGTAGAAAAATGAATTTATAATAAGGCATATAGTTAATCAGGTTCTTCCAAATGGCCAGGTCACTCCCCAATAGTAGGTTAAGCTTTAACATAAGTTAGTAAAATAGTATTAAAACTTATCTCACATAGCCGGGCGTGGTAGCCCATGCCTTTAATCCCAGCACTTGGGAGGCAGAGGCAGGTGGATCTCTGTGAGTTCAAGGCTAGCCTGGTCTACAAAGTGAGTTCCAGGACAGCTGGGGCTACAGGGAGACCCTGTCTCAAAAAGGAAAAAAACAAAACAAAACAAAAAAACTCTCTATAGGGACTGGAGATGGCTCAGTTGTTAAGAGCACTTAACTGCTCTTGCAGAGGACCCAGGTTTGATTCCCAGCACCCACATGACAGCTAACAACCATCTGTAACCATCTGACCTCCTCGGGCATTGCATGACATGAGTACACTTACATACATGCAGGCAATACACTCATGTACATAAAATAAAAATAATAAAATATTTTTTTTAATCTCTATAATCTGGTCTCAAGCTAGCCATCAAGATGCAACCAGTAGCTAGAATTCTAGAATTTAAAAGCTGGAACTCTTGTTAGCATACTAAGTATATCTCAGTTATCCTCAGAGTTGCCTGTCATAGGGATCTTCAAAGTTAAGTTTGTATACATGCTCTCTTTTTTTGGTCTTTTTGAGACAGGGTCTTCCTGTAGCTATATCTGGCTTGAATTCGCTATGGAAACCAGGCTGGCCTTGAGCTCACAGAGACTTGCTTGCCTCTGCCTCCTGCATGCTGGGATTAAAGGCATGTACCACTACCCCTGGCTTATATACATGCTGTTTTTGCTCTTTTTTTTTTTTTTTGGTCTTTTTGAGATAGGGTCTCTCTGTAGCCCCAGCTGTCCTGGAACTCACTATGTAGACCAGGCTGGCCTTGAACTCACAGAGATCCGCCTGTCTCTGCCTCCCAAGTTCTGGGGCTAAAGATATACACCACCATATACATATATTTTTAAGTGTATGAGTATTTTGCCTGCATGTATGTAAGTGTACCACATGCATGCCAGGAACTGGAGTTATGGATGGTTGTTACCTGCCATGCTGGTGCTGGGAACCAAACCTGTGTCTTCTGCAAGAGCAACAAGTGCTCTTAACTGCTGAGCCATCTTTCCAGCCCCCTTAGTACTTTTTTTTAATTGCTGAATAATGCTGTATTATATAATATATAACATTTTGTTTATTCATTTATCAGTTGATGGACATGTTAATTGGTTCCATAATTTGGCAATCATAATAATGCTGTGAATATTTATGAGGTTTTTTTAAAATATTTTATTTATTATTTTTATGTGTATGCATGTATTGCCTGCATGTAGGTAAGTGCACCCATATTGTGCAATGCCTGCGGACAGAAGAGACTGTCGGATCCCCTGGAACTGGAGTTACGGACAGTTGTTAGCTGCCATGTGGGTGCTGGGATTCAAACCTGGGTCTTCTGCAAGAACAGCCAGTATTCTTAACCACTGAGCCATTTCTTCAGCCCCTGTGTATGAGTTTTTATGTAGACTGCTTTCATTTCTCTTGGATATATACTTAGAGGTAAAATTGTTAGGTTATATGATAACTATGTACATTAGTTACTTTTCTGTTGCTGTGATAGAAACGCTGACCAAAGGACTTATAAAAGGAAGAGTTTATTTAAGCTTACAGTTCCAAGGGGCAAGAGTTCATCATGGCAGGGAGGCATAATGGCAGAGGTGGCTGGAAGAGAAGGGAAGCTAAGCTCTCACATCTTCAAGCAGACACCAGAAACGAGAGTTAACTCGAGATCCGGTAAGGCTTAAGAACTCTCTAAGCCCGCCCCCAGTGACGTTCTTCCTCCAGGAGAGCCACACCTTCTAAGACCTCCCAAAACAGCACCACCAACTGGGGACAAAAATGTTCAAATACTTGGAGCCTATGGAGGATATTTTCATTCAAACTACCACACTGTTTAATTTTTTCAGGAACTACTAGATTGTTTTCCAAAATAGTTAATAGTATTTTTTAGTACCATCAGCAGTGAATAAGAGTTCCAGTTTCTCCATAGTTTCCCTTACACTTGTGTTTTTAGTTGTAGACATTCTAGTTGGTGTGAAGTTGTATTTCATTGTGGGTTCTTTTTTTTTCTTCAAATTGTTGTTTTTGTTTTGAGACAGGGTCTCACTGTATAGCCCCATCTGGTCTAGAACTCATTATATAGACCTTGATCTTATAGAGATCTGCCCACCTCTACCTCCGGAGTGTTGGGATCAAAGGTGTATGTTGGCTTCATTGTGGTTTTAGCTTGCTTTTCTTTGATTTCCTAATTTTGAGCATATTTTCAATGATTATTGGCGATTTGGTATGTATTCTTTGAAGAAATAAATGTCTACCCAGAGCTCTTGAGCATCTTAAAAATTGGATTCTTTTTATTATTGAGTTATAGGAATTATTTATATTTTCCAGCTATATTTCCCGTACCTCATATTTGATCTGTAAGAATTTCTTCTATTTTGTGGATTGTCTTTATACTCTAACAATGATAATATACTTCTCATTTAATTTTGATAGTCTAGTTCACTATTTTTTCTTTTGTCACATACTTTTGGTCTCATATCTAAGAAGGCTTTGCTTTGCCTAAAATTATGAAGATTTAAATTTTCTTTTTTTTAATTTTATTTACTTATTTTTATTTTATGTGTATGCATATATTGCCTGCATGTAGGTAAGTGTACCCATGTCGAGCATTGCCCTCAGAGATTAGAAGAGACTGTCGGAGACCCTGGGACTGGAGTTACGGACAGTTGTTAGCTGCCATGTGGGTGCTGGGATTCAAACCTGGGTCTTCTGCAAAAACAACCAGTGTTCTTAACCACTGAGCCATCTCTCCAGCCCCTTAACTCTTAAAAGAGTTCTATAATTTTAGCTCTTAACATTTATGTATATGGCCGGTTTTGAGTTAATATTTGTGTGTGGTATGAGAAAGGGATCTGTATTAGGGTTCTCTAGGGAGATTAAAACTGTAGGAAAGGGGTTGGAGAGATAGCTCATTGGTTAAGAAACTGACTGCTCTTGCAGAGGACCTGGGTTTGATTCCCAGCACCCACATGACAGCTAACAACTGTCTATAACTCCAGTTCTCCAGTTCCAGGAGATCTGAAGCCTTCTGACTTCCAAGGGCATTGCACAACATGGGTGCACTTGCACACATGCAGTCAATACATTCATACACATAAAATAAAAATAAATAAAATATTTTTAAAAAACTAGGTGCCAGGCATGGTGGTGCATGCCTTTAATCCCAGCACTCGGGAGGCAGAGGCAGGCGGATCTCTGTAAGTTCAAGGCCAGCCTGGTCTACATAGTGAGTACCAGGACAGCTGGGGCTACAGGGAGACCCTGTCTCAAAAAGACCGGAAAAAAAAAAAACCAAAAAAACTGTAGGAGATAGATATGGTTACTGATGTATAGATACATGAGATTTGTTAGGGGATTGTTAGGGAATCAGTTAACATAATTACGGAGACTGAAAAGTCCATCTGTGAACTGGAAAACTAGAGAAGCCTGTAGTCCAGATCAGTCCAAGTCAAAAGATTTGAGAATCAAGGAAGCAAAACCCTTAGTCCGAGGTCAAAGGCCTGAGGGCCTGAGGGACTGCTGCACCTTGTACCTTGGAGGTGTGAGTCCCAAAGGTCGAAGGCCAAAGAACCTGAAGTTCTGAAGTCTGAGGACAGAAGAAGAAAGGTGTCTCATTCCCGAGGAGAGATGCATCCATAGTCCACCTTTTTTTTTGTTTTTTTGTTTTTTGTTTTTTGGATCCAGCCCCTAACCACCTGACTAGATAGGGGTGTGTGTGTGTTACTGGGGAGTGAGTTTTTGGTGCTAGGGCACGTATTCTACCACTGAACTACAACCCCACTGACACCCAAAATTAACCACCACAGGGTTGGACTTCAATCTTTTTCATGTGGATATATACTTTTATCAGTATCATTTGTTGAAGACACTATTCTTTGCTCATATTAACTTGGGCTGGTCATAGTGAGTTCTAGGACAATCTTGAGTTACAGAAAACCCTGTCTCAAAAAAAAAAAAAAAATCAGTTGACCATAAATGAGAGTTTATTTCTGGATTCAAATCTATTCCATTAATCTATGTTTTATTTTGATTATTATATTTTGAAAGTGGTAAACATGAGTCTTCCAATTCTGTTCTTTTAATTTTTTATTACTTTATTTGTGTGTGTATGTGTGCACACATGCAGGCACATGTATGGATGGCAGAGAACAACTTGCAAGAGTCTGTTCTCTCCTTCCACCTATTGGATCCCAGGGATTAAACTTAGGTCCTCAGTCTTAGCAGCAAGCACCTCTACCTGCTGAACCATTCCACAAACACTACAAAATAAATCAGAGTGTTTTATCTTCCATCTTTGAAAGAATGGCAAATAATTTGTATTCTTTTTTATTGTTTTTTTTTTTTTTTGGTGTGCTTTTTGTTTTTTGAGACAGGATCTCCCTGTAGTTCAGCTGGCTTGGAACTCACTATATAGACCAGGCTGGCCTTGATCTCACAGAGATCTGCCTGCCTCTGCCTCCCTAGTGCTGATACTAAAGGCATGTACCACCATGCCTAGCTAATTCTTTTTTTGAAATATTTTATTTATTATTTTTATTTTATGTGTATGAGTGTATTGCCTGCATGTATGTGAATGCACCTATGTCATTCGGATTCCCCTGGAACTGGAGTTAAGGATGGTTCGTAGCTGCCATGTGGGTGCTGGGAATCAAACCTGGGTCCTCTGCAAGAGCAGTCAGTGCCCTTAACCATTGAGCCATCTCTCCAGCCCCGTAATTCTTATTTTTAAAACAGGCTAATGGCAAGTGAGATGGCTTCCTTGATGAATTCCACCTGTGCTTTTTAAAGTATTTTTTTTATTACACAGGCTTGGTGGCACATGCCTTTAATCCCAGCACTCCAGAGGCAGAGGCAGGTGGATCTCTGTGAGTTCAAGGCCAGCCTGGTCTACATAACAAATGCCAGCCGGCTAGGGCTACAGGGAGACCCTGTCTCAAAAAGACCAAAAAAAAAAGAAAAAAAATTCAATGTTTGGGCTAGGGAGATGGCTTAGTGAGTAAAGTGCTTGCTGCTCAAGCAGGAGGACCTGAGTTTAGACCCTGAAGTCAAAGTTGGCTGCAGCAGTGCTTGTTCATAACCTCAGTACTGGTGGGATATGTGTCCAGAGACAAGGCAGATGCTAGGGGCCAAATGGCCACCCAATCTAGCAGAATCTGAAAGTTCCAGGTTCAGTGAGAGACCCTGTCTCAAAAATAAGTTCGGGCCGGGTGTGGTGGCGCACTCCTGTAGTCCTAGCACTTGGGAGGCAGAGGCAGGCAGATCTCTGAGTTCAAGGCTAGCCTGGTCTACATAGTTCCAGGAGTGGGTCTACATAGCCCCAGCTGGGGCTACGGGGAGACCCTGTCTCAAAAAAGACAAAAAAAAAAAAAAAGGTAGAGTGGGCCAGTGAGGTGGCTTAGAGGGTAAATGCCTGACAACTCGAGTTTGATCCCTGAAACCCATGTAAAAATAATCAGTTGCACAAAGTTGTCCTCTGACCTCCACATGTGCACCATGGCACATGTGAGCCCACACATCATACACACAGACACACAATAATAATTTAAAAATAAGGTGGGGGACTGGAGAGATGGCTAAGCAGTAAGTAACTGAACCCGGGTTCAGTTCCCAGCACCCCCCATTGTGGCTAACAGCCATCTGTAACTTCATTTTCAGGGGATCCAGTGCCCTCTTTTGGCCTCCATGGGCAATACATGCACATGGTGCCCTTACATAAATGCAGGCAAAACATACATGCACATAAATAAAATAAGGTGAAGTACAATTGAAGAGGACCCTCTGGCTTCTATATGCACATGCACACACATTCCTTAACGAATTCCACTTGTCCTTGACTGCCGAGACACACATAGAAGTCAAAGGACAAACATACACATATACACAAAGCATACAGACACAATTTTATTTATTTATTCTTTTTCTTTTCTTTTTTTTTTTTTGGTCTTTTTGAGACAGGTTCTCCCTGTAGCCGCAACTGGCCTGGATTCACTATGGAGACCAGGCTGGCCTCGAACTCACAGAGATCCGCCTGCCTCTTATTCATTTATTTTTAAGACAAGGTCTCACTATGTAGCTGTGGTTTGCCTGAAACTACTAGACCAAGTGGGTGTCAAAGTCATAGAAATCCCTGCCTCAGACTCCCGAGTGTGGGGATTAAAGGCGTGAGCCACCACACCCAGCCCAGATAAATTCCTGTAATTCTCCAACTGAAGCAGAAGTGAGTTCTGAGGCCTTCCCTGTTTTCCCTTGTCCTCACTGTGAATGTTAGATATTTTGGGTTTCAGGAGAGAGTCAAGAGTGAGCCACAGAGAGGAAGAGACTTTGCTGCTTCCCAGAGAATTTCTTAGTCTTGGGTTGGGCTCGATGGGCCTTTAATCATAGGCAGAGGCAGATGGATCTCTTTGAATTCAAGGTCAGTCTTACTGTTTGAGTTTTCGACCAGTTGGGGCTATCCAGTGAGACCTTATCTCAAAAAACAAACAAAACAAAACAATAAAACAACCACAAAAATCTCAACATAGTCTTCCTCTTGTGGCAGGATGTGGTCCCTCCTTAGCATTTTACCTTGAGGAGTTAAGACAGCATCCATATGAGATTGGAAGGTGTCAGGTAGAAAAAGTGTTTGTTTGGAAATTGTGATGAACAACTCTAATAATAAATAGTTTCCTTTATTTTGGGAGTATTTCCATTAAGGACACAGAATTGCCAAGGCAAAGGAAATTAGGAGTCTTGTAGTCTGTGTTGCTAGCTGTTTCCATAAAAGTGAGCTGTTTAAAAAAAAAAAAAAAAAAAGAGCTGTTTTGCCAAGGGGATGGTTGTAATACTCAGGAAGCTGAGACAGGAAGGCTCACTAGTTTAGTGCCAACCTAGACTACATAGTGAGATTCTGTCTCAAACAAACATTGAACCATCAAGTCAAAATTTCCATTATTTTTGTTACCATAGTTTGTATAATGATTCTTAAATTTCCTTATATAATTTTTTTTTTTCTGGTGCTGGGGACCAAACCAGGGCCTTGCCCTTGCTAGACATTCTACCTATGAGCTAAATCCCCAAACTCCAGGTCTGTATTTATTTAATTAATTATTTTTCTGAGTGTATGTATGTATGTGTATGTATCTCTGGTATATGTATGCTGGTGTTTGCATATGCATGAAGGCCAGAGGACATCAAGTGTTCTGTTCCATGAATCTGCTTTATTCCTTTGGCCAGGGTGACCCTGGAGCCAGGTTGGCAGCCAGTAGGACCTACTAATCCTCCTGTTTCCACCTCTCACAGTGTGGATCTATTTCTGTATAGAAATAATCTTCTGAGAGTTGTTCTCTATTTCTACTGTATGGGTCCAGGAGATGAAACTCAGGTGGTCAGTCAGGCTTGGTGGCAAGTGCCTTTACTTACTGAGCATCTCAAGAGCCTTGTCTTTTTATGCCAGTACCAGACTGTTTTGATTGCCACAGTACAGTTTTGGAACAGTTCTAAATTCCTTTTCAGTTGTACTTCTTTACTAGTAAAAGTCAGGTACATTGTTTCCGCAATTTTTTGCAAAATAAAAATAACTGAGCCCGCGTGTTGGCGCATGCTTTTAGTCCCAGCAGAGGCAGGCGGATCTCTGTAAGTTCAAGATCAGCCTGGTCTACATAGTGAGTTCCAGGTCAGCTGGGGCTACAGGGAGAGCCTGTCTCAAAAAGACCAAAATATAAAAATAACTGAAAGGAGAATAATAATTACTTTTATGCTTTTAGTCACTGGGTAAATTAGTAAACCATGGCTCAGTATTAGCCAACAAAATTATCTTAGTGGATACTCTTTTTTTTTTTTCCAGCGATGTAAGATGAATGAAGATACGGGGAGTGATTATTTAGCACCTTGGCAGCTGTCTCAGGTGGTCGATGGTGGAGGTATTGGAATTATAGAGGAGAGCAAGCACAGAAATTTGGCTAAAGGCGATTTTGTGACTTCTTTCTATTGGCCCTGGCAAACTAAGGCCATTCTAGATGGGAATGACCTTAAAAAGGTAACATATGATACAAAAGCTTCTGAGTTCCCCTTTATCCTCATTTTCTTTTTTTTAAAAATTATTTTAATTTTATGTGTATTCGTGTATTGTCTGAATGTAGGTAAGTACATCTGTGTCGTGCAGTGCCCACAGAGCTCAGAAGAGGCTGTTGGATCACCTGGGACTGGATTACTGACAGTTGTTAGCTGCCATGTGGGTGTTGGGATTTGAACCTGGGTCTTCTGCAAGAACAACCAGTGTTCTTAACTGCTGAGCCATCTCTTCAGCCCCATATCCTCATTTTCTATATCCATGTTACTTTATTATAGAGTGAATAGGGGGTAAAAATCATATATTTTATTTTACCTAGCTGCTGAGATGTAGTAAGCCTTTGCTCTTTTTTACTGCTGGTTATCATTGATCAACAGGTCCTCTGCAAGAGCAGCCAGTGCTCTTAACCACTGAGCCATCTCTCCAGTCTTTCCATAATTACATCTGATAGTTTCCTAAGAAATAAACATGTGCAGAATTTATTTGCTTCATGATTGAAATTCCAACTCATGTCATAAATCTTGAGTTCAATCAACTCTTAGGTTGAAGTATGTAAAATGACCAGCATTATATTGACCTACAAAAACTGGCAGTTTCATGTGACTTGCCCTAATTATGTGTCATCAAGGAAAATACCTTATTTATTTATATCTCAGTTTCCATGTATGGAAAATTGAATAGTCATCTCATAAGTGGATATGAAAATTAAATACTATGGGGGCTAGAGAGATGGCTCAGTGGTTAAGAACACTGGTTGTTCTTGCAGAAGACCCGGGTTCAAATCACAGCACCCACATGGCAGCTAACAACTGTCCATAACTCCAGTCCCAGGGGATCCAACAGCCTCTTCTGACCTCCACGGGCATTGCACGACACGGGTGCACTTACCTACATTCAGGTAATACACACATACACATAAAATAGAAATAATAAAAATAAATTATTTTTAAAATTTTAAAAACATATGGTAGAATTTTAACAAGGCCAAAGAATGATTTATTGTTCTAAAAAACCATATTGATCAGCTTGGGGTACCTAACAAAATACCACAGACTGCATGGTTTAACCAACAGGGACTTATTTTCTATTCTGAAGGTGAGAAATCCAAGATTGAGGTTTCAGAAAATTCAGTTTCTGGGAAAGTCTCTTAGTTTGCAAGGAAATTACTTCTTGCTGTGTCCTAAAGTGTCCTTTCTAGGCAGTAAGAGAGTGTTATATTTGTTTCTTCTAAGAGCACATGTGTTGGATTAAGTCCCCAACTTTATGTATGACCTTATTTAAGGTTAAATATCACCTTAAAAGGCCCTGTTCCAATACATGTACATAGGGATATATGACTTTAACATATGAACTTGGGTGGGGAACACCATTCAATCCTTAACAGGTACTCTGTAACTTTTTAGCATAAAACAGGAATTTCAGTATTTAAAATGTATATATTTTATTTTAGGTAGACCCACAACTTGTGGATGGACACCTTTCATATTTTCTTGGAGCAATAGGTATGCCTGGTTTGACTTCCTTGATTGGAGTACAGGAAAAAGGTCACATATCTGCTGGATCTAATCAGACAATGGTTGTCAGTGGAGCAGCAGGTGCCTGTGGCTCATTGGCTGGGCAGGTAAACTTTTCAAGAATTATTTGATGTTTTAATAGAAGAAGCCGGGCGTGGTGGTGCATGCCTTTAATCCCAGCACTCAGGAGGCAGAGGCAGAGGCGGATCTCTGTGAGTTCAAGGCCAGCCTGGTCTACATAGTGAGTTCCAGGACAGCTGGGGCTACCAAGAGACCCTGTCGTCTCAAAAAAACCAAAAAAAAAAGAAGAAAATATATCTCTAATACATGTATATAATTTAAAATATGAAACAGGGCTGGCAAGATACTTCAGTTGATAGAGTGCTTACCTAGAATGCATAAAGCCCTGGGTTTGATCTCTAAAACCACATAAAACAAATGTGGTGATGCACACCTGTAATCCCAACACTTATGGGAGGTGGAAGCAAGAAGATCAGAAATTCAAAATCGGGCTGGAGAGATGGCTTAGCAGTTAAGAACACTGGTTGGTCTTGCAGAAGACCTGGGTTCGAATCCCAGCACCCACATGGCAGCTAACAACTGTGTGTAACTCCAGTCCCAGGAGATCAGACAGCCTCTTCTGACCTCCACAGGCATTGCACGACATGGGTGCACTTACCTACATGCAGGCAATACATGCATACACATAAAATAAAAATAATAAATTTAAAAAAAAAAAGAAATTCAAGCTCATCCTCAGCTACATAACAAGTTCAAAGCCAGTATGGTCTATAAGACCTTGTCTCAAAAATGAATAAATAAATTCTAAGAGTGTAGCCATTTGTAAATTACCCATGATCCAACAAATAACTGTATACCCATACACATGCAAGCAACTCTAATTAAACTCAATGGGTTATTAAAAGAAAAAAGATATGAAAATAGGAGGGGATGTGTCCCAGAAGGATTGAGAAGGGAATAAGAGACAGGAATTGGGTAAATACGATCAAAATACATTTTCTATCTATGTATGACAGTATCAAAGGTAAATACAAGTTATTTTACAATTTCTTTTAATTGAACACATGTAATGTCATTATTCCGCACACTTCTGGTAGAAGTGTGTTATTACCTATTTAGATTCTGCTAATGACAATATGAAAAATACAGGTTTTTGTGTCTACTAAAAAAAATGTGTTAAGTCTAGAGTATCTCTGTTATTCATATAGGGATGGAAATTACAGAGAATTGTCTAATTCCTTGAATTAAAAGACAAGGGTCTGATTTTCTAGCTCACTAGATAGAGCCCTTGCTAAGAATGAATAAAGCCCTATGTTCAGTTGCCAGCACCAAATGTCATCTAACTCCTATTTTTAAGAAACTTCCTCAAGAAAATATTTGTTTATTTAGTTATAGTTTGAGGCAGGGTCTCAAGTAGTCTAGGGTAGCCTCAAACTCACTACATAGCTTAGAGTTGACCTTAAACTCTTAATCTTCCTGTCTCCGTCTCCCAAGTGCTGGGATTACAGGCCACCAAGCCTAGCACAGAAAGCATTTATTGAAATGTAGCTATGTGGTAAGTATTGGGATAGAATTATATGTTGTTTTGTAAATAGTGGCTATATTACTTGTCTCCTTGCAGTGATAAAATACCTGACAAAAGCAATCTAAGAAAGGAAGGGTTTATTTTGGCCCCCATTTCCAGGCTACAGTCCATTATGCTGGGAAGTCATGATGGCAGGAGCTCTGGTCAACACTGCATGAGCAGTCAGGAAGCAGAGAGCCATGAATGCTTGTGCTCAGCTCACTCTCTCCTAGTCAGGGACCCCAGCCTATGGAATGGTACCAACCACATTTGGGGTGGGTCTTTCCACTTCAATTAACCTAATGTAGGTAATTCATCATAGATGTATCCAGAGGCTTGTTTCCATGGTGAGTCTAGATCTTGTCAAATGGACAAGATTAACCATTGGGGTGGGAGAGATGGCAGTGTGTGGTTAAGAGGACCTGGGTCAGTTTTCAGCACCTACATGGAGACTCATAACCAACCACCTGTGACTCCAGTTCCAGGGAATTTGATGCCCTCTGGCCTCTGTGGGTTCCTGCATACATGTGGTGTACATAAACTCATGCAGGATCACACATATACATAATTTTTTTTTTAATATTAACCACAGTATCTTTTACAGTATGGGAATCATTGAAAAAAAAAATCAAACTTTATTTTAGGTGTCATTTTTATTGTTCACAGGGCTGAAAATTATTGAATTACATTTATTTTTTTAATATTTATTATTTTTATTTTTTATGTGTATGAGTGTATTGCCTGCATTGTATGTGAATGCACCTGTGTAGTGCAATGCCACAGAGGTCAGAAGAGTTTGTTGGGTTCCCTTGGAACTAGAGTTAAGGATGGTTTGTAGCCACCATTTGGGTGCTGGGAATCGAACCTGGGTCCTCTGCAAGAGCAGTTAAGAGCACTGCCCCTTGAATTACATTTAAATTGTGAGTTTTCAACTATATTTTATTGTTTTAATTTTTTTAAGTTCTGATAACTTGTTTTTTTTTTTTAATTTTATGTGTACGTGTGTATTGTCTGCATGTAGGTAAGTATACCCATGTTGTGCAGTGCCCATGGAGAACAGAAGAGACTGTCAGATCCCCTGGAACTGGAGTTACGGACAGTTGTTAGCTGTCATGTGGGTGCTGGGATTCGAACCTGGGTTTTCTGCAAGAACAGTGTTCTTAACTGCTGAGCCATCTCTCCAGCCCTCTATTTTAATTTTTTAAAGGATCACATTGTTTGTCCTCAATCTCCTTGGTTTTAAGTTTCTTTTAGCTAAAAGCAGTGTCATCTAACCTTAATTGTGATGAACACTCTCCTACACTTGCAATATCTTGTATACATTCATATTTTTAATTTGTGTGAATATAAGGTCATTTAATTTTCAAAAATTTCCCTCATAGATTGGCCATCTGCTAGGCTGTTCCAGAGTGGTGGGAATTTGTGGAACACATGAAAAATGCCTCTTCTTGACCTCAGAATTGGGGTTTGATGCTGCAATTAATTATAAAAAAGGAAATGTGGCAGAACAACTCCGAGAATCATGCCCGGCTGGAGTGGATGTTTACTTTGACAATGTTGGTGGTGACATCAGTGATACAGTGATAAGTCAGGTTGTTTGCTGAATTGTTTGGGTTACAAATCTGAAATAAATGTGTTATAAATGTATTTTATTTATTGTGACACATTTTTGCCTGATACTGAAGGGGGGGGAACTATAATGTTGTAGGGATTATTGTGACAAATAATTTGAGGATCATTATCATATTTAAGTTGTACAAAAGAGCTTGTGGTACTTCCTTTGATTTGATTGAAGATTTCAGTTCCTACCCACAATACTTTATTTTTACCTTTTTATTTTTATGAAAAATTATAGTTGCATTTTGAAATGGTGAAGTTCTGACCCCTAACTCCATCCACTGACCACCTCACAGCCCCAGAGGACCAGGGTTCAGTTTCCAGCACCCACATGGAGACTCACAATCTCCTGTGACTCCAGTTCCAGGGGATCTGATGCCTTCTGTCCTCTGGGAATCACTGCATACATGTGGTACATATGCAGGCTCACACACATACACATAAAAAAAGTCTTAAAAAAATGAACCTTCGCCGGGCGTGGTAGCACACACCTTAATCCCAGCACTTGGGAGGCAGAAGTGGGTGGATCTCTGTGAGTTCAAGGCCAGCCTGGTGTACATAGTGAGTTCCAGGACAGCTGGGGCTACAGGGAGACTCTGTCTCAGAAAGACAAAAAAAAAAAAATTAACCATCACAGTATCTTTACAGTATGGGAATCACTGGGCAAGGAGTTGGGTATGGAAATGATTTTCATAGATTGCAGGTTTTTATGTATTTTTATTGACAATGTGGAAACATTGACAGTCACTGTTTTTGTTTTTTGGGCTTTTTGAGACAGGGTCTCCCTGTAGCCCGAGCTAGCCTTGAACTCCCAGAGATCCACCTGCCTCTGCCTCCTAAGTGCTGGGACTAAAGGTGTGCACCACCACGCCTGGTGACAGTCACTGATAATGCTTAGATCTTTACTATTTATAAAATTACTTGTAGTTCAGATTATTTAATGAAATAAACTACTGCTACTAGTAAAAGTAGCAAAATCAATGAGAACTAATATAGTTTTTTTGGTGATTATCAACCTATTTGGTCTATATGCTTTTGGAGTGAACTTATTTCTTTTTTTAAAAATATATTTTATTTATTATTTTTACTTTTATGTGTATGAGTGTATTGCTTGCATGTATGTGAGTGCACCTGTGTCATGCAATGCCTAGAGGTCAGAAGAGGGCTTCGGATTCTCCTGGAACTGGAGTTAAGAATGGTTTGTAGCTGCCATGTGGGTGCTGGGAATCGAACCTGGGTCCTCCGCAAGAGCAAATGGTGCGCTCAACTGCTGAGCCATCTCTCCAGCCCCATGGAGTGCACTTATTTCTAAGTAATTAGAACTTTTACGGGCCAGAGAGATGACTGAGTGGTTAAGAGTGCTTGCTGTTCTTACAGAGGACCTGGTTCAGTTCCTAATACCCACCTCGGGTAGCTTACAACTACTTGTAACTCCCAGTTCTAGGGGACCCAATGCCCTCTTTTGGCTTTTGAAGGCACCTGCATGCACGTGGTGTACATAAAACTCACACAGGCATACACACACACATACACATCAGTTTTTAAAAGTTTTACACATACATGTAGACTTTATAAAATATTTACTTTTTTTTTTTTTTTTTTTTTTTTTTGAGACAGGGTCTCCTTGTAGCCCCAGCTGTCCTGGAACTCACTACGTAGACTGGGCTGGCCTTGAACTCACAAAGATCTGCCTGCCTCTGCCTCCCAAGTGCTGAGATTAAAGGCGTGTGCCACCATGCCCAGCCTAATTTAGTTTTTTTTTTATTAAACTTTTAAATATATAAATCTTCAAAAAGTTAATTGGCTTTCATTGATGCAACCATAAAATCTATAAACAGGAAAGGTATCTAAGGGTGTAATTATCCTTTTTTTTAAAAAAAATACAGATGAATCAGAACAGCCACATTATTCTGTGTGGTCAGATTTCTCAGTACAATAAAGATGTACCTTATCCTCCTCCACTGCCCCCTGCTGTAGAAGCAATCCAGAAGGAAAGAAACATCACAAGGTATGGCCTTTGCCCTTGGTGCCACTTTCAAGGGGGGTGGTTTAATTTCATAGATGTGTATGAAATACATTCATTTAACTTTTTTTGGCCAATTTATTTTTATTTTATGTGAATGAATGAATGTTTTTCCTGAAACTAGAGCTACAGACGGTTGTTAGCTGCCATGTGGGTGCTGGGAACTGAACCTGGGTTCTCTGCAAGAGCAGCCAATGCCATTAATAGCTAAGCCATCTCTCCAGCCCCAATTTTTTCTTTCTTTCTTTTTTTTTTTTTTTGTCTTTTTTGATACAGGATCTCCCTGTAGCCCCAGCTAACCTAGAACTCACTATGTAGACCAGGCTAGTCTGAACTCAGAGAGATCCACCTGCCTCTGCCTCCAGAGTGCTGGGATTAAAGGCCTGTGCCACCACACCTGGCTCTTTTTTCTTAAAAAATATTTGTTTGGGGCTGGAGAGATGGCTTAGTGGTTAAGAGCACTGACTGCTCTTGCAGAGGACCCAGGTTTCATTCCCAGCACCCACATGGCAGCTACGAACTGTTCTTAACTACAGTTCCAGGAGAATCCGAAGCCCTCTTCTGACCTCCATGGCATTGCAGTGTGTGTGTGTGCAGGCATGCAAGTGCTCAGAGAGGGCCAAAGAGGGTGTTAGATCCTCTGAAGGTAGAGTTACAGGTGGTTGTGAGCCCCCTGACATTGGTGCTGGGAACCAAACTTTGGTCCTCTGGAAGAACAGTAAGCACTCTTCAATGAAAAGCCATCTCTGCAGCTCCCTAGTTTTCTGAAAAGTATATTTTAAAGGTGGTTCAAGATTTAGGTTTGATAATGTGAGGATGGGGAAAGAACATTATCTACAAAGGAAAAAAAAAAACTACAGTATTATTGCCAAATAAGATTGTAGATGATAAGCAGACATAAACAGTAGTGTATTTACCTTTTGACTATACCTAAAACTGAGCAGACTCAGTGTGGTTAGAGATTAACAGGTATAGTAGCATTCTGGATTCTCACTCTTGTAATATTCTCTGATCATTATCCTTTTATTCTCTGCTTACAGAGAGAGATTTATGGTATTAAATTATAAGGATAAATTTGAGCCTGGAATTCTACAGTTGAGTCAATGGTTTAAAGAAGGAAAGCTAAAGGTAAAACAAAAAAAATTTTATTCCTTGGAAATAGGATTTCATGTACTGGGAGATTATCCTGGGCCTTCCTATGTAAACAAGAACTTCACCAACTAAGCTACATCCCCAAGCCAAACTTCTATTCTTTATAATTCTTTCTGCTATTTGGCATACTTTTATTTTCTTTGAATTTACTGTAACAAACATATTTGTTTTAGTATGAAGTATTCCTATATAAGATGGGATGGAGAGATGGTTCAGTAGTTAAGAACACATACTACTCTTGCAGAGGACCAGAGTTTGGTTCCTAGCATCCATGTCAGGGAGTGCTATGACTCTAATTCCAGGGGATGTGATGCCCTCTTCTAGACTCTGTAGGCAACTACACTCACACATACCTACCCCTACATAGATACACACACAATAGTTAAAAAATAAATGACTATAACCTACTACTGATTGAGAAACCCTTTTATTAACTTAATGTAAAATTTTATTAAGTTTACTTTCCATGGGTTATTTACAAAAATCAATAGGTATTTATCCCCAAATATAAAATTCTAATGTTCACTAATTTAACAACTCTATTATAGAGTTGTACTTCATTAGCAATTTCACTTTCTTAAAAGTCATATAAGCACATCTCAGTACCCTCTCTGGATGTTCTTTTTTTTTTTTGGTCTTTTTGAGGCAGGTTCTCCTTGTAGCCCCAGCTGGCCTGGAACTCACTATGTGAACGAGGCTGGCCTTGAACTCACAGAGATTTGCCTGTCTCTGCCTCCCAAGTGCTGGAATTCGAAGTTTGCACTACCATGCCTGGCTCATGATATTCTTTTTTTCCTCCACACATATGCTGTGACACATATACTTCTATACACAAATAAGTCCAAAATTTTTTTTTAAAGATCAGACAGTAGGATTTTTTTTTTTTTTTGTCTTTTTGAGACAGGGTGTCCCTGTAGCCCCAGCTGGCCTGGAACTCACTATGTAGACCCGGCTGGCCTTGAACTCAGAGATCCACCTGCTTCTGCCTCCTGAGTGCTGGGATTAAAGGTGTGCGCCACCACGCCTGGCTAGATTTTTATTGTATTTTATTTTATTTTGGTCTTTTTGAGACAGGGTCTCCCTGTAGCCCCAGATGACCTGGGACTCTCTATGTAGACCAGGCTGGCCTCAAACTCACAGAGATCCGCCTGCCTCTGCCTCCCAAGTGCTGGGATTAAAGGCGTGTGCCACCACACTCAGCTGGATTTTATTTTTTAAAAAAATCAATAGCAAACTTTTCTGGGCTACCTACATGAAATAAATAAAATTTTTCTACTATATACAAAGTTCTAAATTATATTGCTTCCTGTTAATGTAAACCATTAAATAGAAACATTGGAGCTTAACACTAAATGTAGCTATTTTGATTTACAGATCAAGGAAACTATGATAAATGGATTGGAAAACATGGGCGGTAAGATGAATATAGCTTTAATACATATATGTCTGTATATGGAGAGAGTATGTGTGTGCTCAACAGATACATTGTCTTTTTATTTTCTTATTTTTTTAATTTTACGTGTGTGCGTATATTGCCTTCATGTAGGTAAGTGCACTCGTGTCATGCAGTGCCCAAGGAGGACAGAAGAGGCTGTTGGCTCCTCTGGAACTGGAGTTACGGACAGTTGTTAGCTGCCATGTGGCTGCTGGGATTCGAACCCAGGTCTTCTGCAAGAACAGTCAGTGTTCTTAACCACTGAGCCATCTCTCCAGCCCAGGTTTTCTTTAAATGCTACCTTTCAGGGCTTTTATTATTATTTTAATTTTTTTGGCTTCTTGCATACTACACCCCAGCCAATTTTTTTTTTTTTTCTTTTTGGATGTACTAGGGAATAAGAGTTAACTGAAAGTTGAAAGTCTGTGTTTTTGTTTTATGTAATGTGAAATTGAATCCAGAGCCTTGTGCATGTTAAGCAAGGCCTGTACCTGCCTGTACCTGTCTCCTTTTCTTTATTCTCTCTCCTTTTTTTGGGAGGGGGGGTAGGGTCTTTTTGAGACTTTGTTTTTTTTCATAGCCCAGGCTGGCCTTGAATTTGTTAGGTAGTTGAGGCTGGCCTCAAACTTCTGATTTTTCTACTTCTACCTCCAAGTACTGGAATTACAGGCATGTACCACCATACCAAGTTTATTATCTTTTTAGCAGTTTATTTCTGGAACTGACTGGGAATGTAGATCAGTTGGTAAAGTGCTTGCCTACAATGCATAAAGCTTTGGGTTTGATCCCCAACACTGTACAAATCAGGCATGGTAGCACACCACCTGTAATCCCAGAACTCAGACAGTGGAAATGGCAAGATCAGTTTAAGGTCTTTCTTGGCTACATTATGAGTTTGAGGCCAATCTGGGATAAATGAGATCCTGTCTGAAAAAATTTTTCTTTTTCTTCCCTGTGAAATGCCTATATATTAGGTTTCCTTAAATATTGTAATCAAATGCCATTAGAGTTCACTTTATTGGTATTTGATGTGTATTAATTTTCTTTTCATCACTGAGACAAAAGACATGAAACAATTTTAGGGAAGAATTAGTTTGCTAATGATTCTAGAGGGTTTGGTTCAGGGTCACTTAGCCCCATGCACTTGGGTAAGGCAGATCATCATGGTGGCCAGAGTATGTGAGGAGCTCTTCACCTCGTGGTGGACATGAAACAAAAATGTCAGGAAGGGGCCACACATAAGACACTCCAAGGGCCCAACCTAGTGACCTATTTCCTCCAGCTAGGTCCCACTTCCTGAAGTTTCCAGAACCTCCCAAAATAGCACCTACCACTTGCTGAAGACCAAGCATTCAAATATGAGCCTATTGGAGCCATTTCATATTCAAACCATATCAAGAGGTATTGTTTGATCTTGGCAGGGTGGGGCACAACTTTAATCCCAGCCCTGTGGAGGCAGAGGCAGGCAGGCCTCTGAGATCAAGGACAACCTGATCTATATAGTGAGTTCTAGGCTAGCTGGGGCTCAAGGAGACCCTATCTCAAAAAACGAAAAAACAAAAAAGATATTGTTTCAAGTTTCTTTGGTTTCTCAGCTTATAAAAATGCAAAAAAAATAATGAAATTTTCAAAAATTTTTTGTCTAACACACAGATTTAGACATTTATTTGAAAAGGCTTAAACTGATTTTTTTTCCTTTTCAAAACAATATTTTAAACCACTATTTTGTTTGTATTTAAATGTAAATGTCACTGGGTATGGTGGCGCACGCCTTTAATCCCAGCACTTGGGAGGCAGAGGCAGGCAGATCTCTGTGAGTTCAAGGCCAGCCTGGTCTACATAGTGAGTTCCAGGACAGCTGGGGCTACAGAGAGACCCTGTCTCAAAATGTAAATGTCACTCATTTGGTATAACAAATATATACTGTATTTATACAATAAAACAAATTTCTTTTTTTGGGGGGTCTTTTTGAGACAGGGTCTCCCTGTAGCCCCAGCTGGCCTTGAACTCAGAGATCCTCCTGCCTCTGCCTCCCAAGTGCTGACACTATGCCTGGCAGAAACTTAAAATTTATACAATTTTTAGTTATTTAAAATTTTTCTGCCAACATTTTATTCCCCTTTTAATTTGCCTCTAGTCTTCAGACTCTGTATCTTTATGTGGCTACCAGTTAGATATTTCCAGTTTAGACAACAGTAGGTTTTATTTGTTTTTTCTTTTTGAGACAGGGTCTCCTGTAGTTAAGGCTGGTTTCAAACTATGTATTCAAGAATGATCCTGAACTCTGATCTTCCTGCCTCCACCTCCAGGTGCTGGAATTAACAGGTATAAATCACTGTGCCTGGCTTATGCAGTGTTGGAGAGAGAATCCAGGGCCTTGTACATACTAGGCAGGCAGGCACTCTATTAAGTGCTTATATATCACTATATATCCCCAGCCCAACAAGTTTTTCCAAAATATTGGATTAGTTTGTATTTCACTTGAGGCATTTTTTTGTTTGAAACAGGGTCTCCTTCTCTCCTACCTCCTCCTCTTCACATTCTAAAAAGCATAAATCCATTCCTGAGGCCAGGCAGGGGCAAGTTCCCAGTGTACAAGCTCAGTGTTCTGTTGGAATGTCTGCCAGGGTGTCTAAGATGCAACATATTTGAGTGAGGCAGTGTGTTCTTTCTCCTACACAACTCTTTTTGGTTGTTTTGAGACAAGGTCTCACCATGTAGTTCATACTAATCTTAAACTCATGATCCTCTTGCTTTAGCTTCCAGAGGGCTGGAATTATATTTGTACACCATGAGAGCTTCCTTCTGTGTTTAAATATTAAAAACCATTGAAGAAATTATTCAAATTAATTTTTAATCAGTTTTAAAAAATATTTTATTTATTTTATGTGTATAAGTGTATTGCCTGCATGTAAGTGAGTGCACCCATGTCGTGCAATGCGACGGAGGTCAGAAGAGGGCTTCAGATTCCCCCAGAACTGGAGTTAAGGACAGTTCATAGAAGAGGGCTTCAGATTCCCCCAGAACTGGAGTTAAGGACAGTTCATAGCCACCCTGTGGGTGCTGGGAATCGAACCTGGGTTCTCTGCAAGAGCAGTCAGTGCTCTTAACCACTGAGTCATCTCTTCAGCCCCTATTCAAATTAATTTTATATGCCAGACCTCCTGACAAACATACAGTAACATTTATCTTCAGATAACCTAACTTTTTTTCTTCTTTCCAGTTGCATTCCAGTCCATGATGACAGGAGGTAACATTGGAAAGCAGATAGTCTGCATTTCAGAAGATACTTCTTTGTTACCTGGGTACACATCCTAATCAAGGAAATCGTACATATTTCACTTTGCACACAGATTTTAAAGATACATTCTAAAAACTCTTAAGAGTACAGATAGCTCTTGATTTGAATGTGATCATGAGTGATATTTTCTTATATATAACCTCTGTATCTTCAATATCATACATTGACTCTATAACATGTACCATAATAAAATCAGTATCATCTATTTTTCTTTTTCTTTCTTTTATTTGCTTTTGAGAGGCTCTCACCCTGGCTTCAAACTTATGATCCTTGTGCCCTAGCCTCCTGAGTGCTAGGATTACATGTATGTGCCACTATGCCTGACTCCTTTATCTTAGTTTTGAGATAGGGTCTGTTATGTAACCCAGGTTGGATTGACTCCTCAGGCTTCCCAGTGCTGAGATTGCTAGGATTATAGGCATGTGCCACCATACCTGGCTACTTTTGTTTGTTAAGACTAATATTACATATGTTTGTATCGAATATTCTAAAACCATTGGAGACTGTTAACAGATCATACATATAAATCTTTAAATTCTTTTCAAAATTAACTAAACATTTTATTAATTCCAAATGAGAAGCAGTTATTTGTTGAACTGGAAAAAATTTTGCATGATTTTTTTTGTTTGTTGAAACAGGGTCTCCCTGTATAGTCCAGGCTGGCTTCAAACTCACAGCCTGCCTCTGCTTCCTGAGTGCTGAGATTAAAGGTGTGCATCATCACACTGAGCTTTTACATGATTCTTAAACTGAAAGTTAGTGTTAGAATTGGGATAGCCTTTCTGTATTGTAGATAGGAGCCTTTTTTTTTTTTTTGGTCTTTTTGAGACAGGGTCTCCCTGAAGTCACAGCTGGCCTGGATTCACTATGGAGACTCGGCTAGCCTTGAACTCACAGAGAGCCACTTGCCTCTGCCTCCCAAGTGCTGGGATTAAAGGCATGGGTCACCACAGCCAGCTCTGTAGATAGAAGACTTTTAATGGTATGATAAATACACAGGGTTGGGGCAGCATAGGAACTTTTTAGTTTACAGAACAGTTTTTGGGATTGAACGTAGAAATTTTGGGTTGGGAGTGGTATGAGAGGATAAATGAGGTTACATGGAGCTCAAGAGACCAGATTTACATCCAGGGATGATCTATTTGTGCCTTACCAAATAGTTTACTGTATAACAAGCCTAACACCTTAGTACATACTGATAAAACCATGTGTTTACTTTAGGAAACTTTGGAGGGCAAGTAGTTATCTTGGAATTTCATGATTAAAGACAAAATGGACTAAGGGAGTGGTCAGGGGCAGAACACTGCTCAGCATTCCAGGGGCCTTGATATTAATCCCCCCTAGCAACCCCCTTCTCTCAAAAACAGCGTCAAATAAAACAAACTATAAAGCTTCAGAAAATGACAGGACTGAGTAAATTAACCAATGTTTGTAGACAAGAATATTCAAAAACCAATAGATGTATTTGTTTTATTAATTGTAGCCAATGCTTTAGAACAGTAAAACAGAGGATGTTTTCTGTGTGTGACTTACAGCCACTTTTTTATACAGTGTACTTTATATACAACACTTGTAATAAATATATTAAAATTGCATTGTAATCATTCTCCTAGTCCAGTTTTTTCAGTGGCCTAACCTTGTTTTATAAACTTTTCTTGGACCATTTTCTTTCCTGAGGGGTCTTCATCTCTTTTGTTTATTTATTTAGGTCTTTTTGAGACAGGGTCTTCCTTAGCCCCAGCTAGCCTGGAACTTGCTATGTAGACTAGGCTGGCCTTGAATTCTGCCTGCCTCTGCTAGGATTAAAGGTATGTGTCACCAAGCCTAGCTTCATCTCTTTATATGTTGATAACTTCCAAATCTACTTTACATAAACTTTGAGCGTGTAGCTCCAAGTAAACAATTCCTTGCTACACCAAACTTTTTCAGATACTATGTAGCCTACCTGTCCTGAAACTCAGCAATCATTCTGCCTCAGCCTTCTGAGTGCTGGGATTACAGGCATTTGTATCAACACCTGTCCTCCAACTCTGTATCTAGAAGAATTCTCTTCCCCTGAAATGTTGTATACTCACACTTACCCATTTAGTTCTCTTGGCTTATATTTAAACTTGAAAATGCCTTTTTAAAGGAAATTTAATTCCCGCTGCCAATATCTTAAGTCCCCTATTCTTCCATACGACATCAAGTATTCAAAAAACGAGTGATTTCAAGGAAACTCATAAAACTCCAAGTACTTGTATCCAGTTTGAAGCTCAGGGGTTCTAGCCCTCAGTCAGAGCATCCAAGATCTTAAGCATGCTAATATCCGGAACCCAGGCCGGAGGACACTCAGAGTCACCAAAAGCTCTACATGCGAACTCATACCCAGTCCAAGGGCAACGCAGAACTTGATTGTGCAAGTTCCCTTCTTGGGCAGTGAAGATTTCGGGTCCTCTTCGTGGAGAGTTTTGCGTTTAAGGCGCATTCTTTACTGCCGGGCTCCGTTGTAACTTCACAGCAGACCGGAAAGCTACCCCATCCACCTCTACCGGAAGGCGGTGACGTCACGGCGAGACTGCACTGACCTGGTTTAGGGGCTTCCCGGACCCAAGAGCCCTGAAGGCCAGAGAGGAGGAGCAAGGGCGGGGGCACGGTTCCTCGGTCCCGAGCGGAGCCGGAGTCGGGTACCCGTCCCGCCAGCTGCCCGAGAGTCAAGACCTCCACCCGGACAGCTCTCGGGGCGGAGAAACAATGGGGATGTTCGTGGGGGGCGGCCAAACTTCCTGTCCCGCTCTCGAGCTGCTTCCGGCGAGAGCCGGAAGACGCCGTATGTGGACGGAATTCGGGACTGACGGCCGGCCAGGTGCCCCGGAGTGGAAGGTGAGCTTCGGGGTGGGGCTGACCACACCCGCTCGGCTAGGTGGTCCCGGAGAGGAAAGCAGCTCCCGCTGGGGTAGGGGTGCTGGGGCCGAGTTCGGCCCTAAAGGGGACCGGGAAGCCGCCCCCCCGGGGTCCTCTCCGGGCGCTGGCGGGAGGGGAGCGACCCGTCTGAAGCCCGGTGCTTCGGCCCTTCCGCCGTCGCCTTTCGGGGAGATGGTTTGGCTCCTTGGCTTAGCTTGGCGGCCGGCGGCCTGGAAGTAGAGCTCCCCGAAAGTCCGCGTCACGAGCCCCCAGCGCGGGGCTCGCACTGCCCGCCGCTGGGCCTGCCCGCACACCTTCGGGCCTTGGATGGGCCTTTGTGCTTGCGTCAGGGATGCCACCGGCGCCCGGCCCGCAGCGTTTCAGCCCGGCGCTGCCCCCTCCTTTCTCACGGCCACGCACTTCGTGTGTCTGGATCCCGGGCGTCTGCGGACTGCGGCAGGACCTCTGGTTCCTCCTCCGCCTGTCAGTTCAGGCCGGCGTGTGGGCCTCTAGGTTTGCAGCCGGTGTGCCCTTTGGTGGTTGAACTTAAACCCTATGAAGTTTCTCCTGAGAAGAGGAGCCAATTAGTTGTTTAAACTTTATCTCACTTGCTCACGAGGCTCTGAAATGTACTTAGGTACCATTTGGGAGTTAAGTATTATTAACTTGGGGGTTAAAAATTCGTACTTTTATTCTAGATTTTGGCACAAGGGCCAACGTAGCATATTTGCTAAAACAATAAAATAAATATTTTGAATTAAAACAGGAGCATTTTTGGTGTTAGACATTAAGAAATTACACCTTGTGTTAACGTATTGCCATACAGGGCAACTCAGTTAGCATCAGAAGATTTGAATTGTAGTTTAAGCTTTGCATCCCAATAGGTGTCAATTTTTTTTTGTAAATTACTTAACTTCTAGCTTTGAGGGGGTGTTATATAAGTGAAGAGGTTTACCCTTAGGGGTTTTACCATCATTCTGAAGTATTGTACTTTGAATATGAGAGGTGACAAGTATTTTTGTGTTTGGAAAAATAATTTGAGTGGCTGGGTAAAAGATAGATTGGAAGGGGCTGGAGAGATGGCTGAACAGTTAAGATCACTGACTGCTCTTGCAGAGGACTCAGGTTCAATTCTCAGCACCCACATGTGACTGACAACCATCTGGAACTCCAGTTCCAAGGAAATCCAATGCTCTCTTATTTCCTCGGGCATTGCACAGTGCAGGTGCACTTACATACATTCAGGCAATACACTCATACACGTAAAATTAAAATAATTTACAAAAATTTAAAAGATAGATTGGAAAGGGTAAGTATAAAGACAAGGTAAACCAGTTAGAAGTCTGTGTTAATAGTGTAGTTGAAAGATACTGAGAAATCTAAACAGCAGCGGAGTAGGAATTCATTAGGGGGACTCAGACATTACTGGGATTATTTAAATATGGGGGATGAAAAACTGCTAGACAGAATTTGCAACTGAGTGGGAACAAGATTGGGCAGTAAACAAAAGGGAGAATTGACAAAGAACAAGTATGGTAGGGGAGATACATCTGGGCTTTGGACACTGGTCAGTGTCAAATGCTGGTGGATATATATGTGGAGTTACCCAGCAAGCAATTAGTAATCAAGGTTTGGAGTTCAGAAGTCTGGTCTAAAGGAAAAACATGGGTATCATTTGCCATGTTACAAATTCTTGATCTGAATATTCATCCAGTGCTTTCTATGTCTTCATATGAGGAAACTTGCATGGAAGTTTTCTTTAAACTCATAGTAAAGACAACTTTGGAATTGGGTTTCTTTTTGGGAAATGTAATATTAGCTAGGCATGATGGTGCACACCTGTAATCCAAGCTGAGTTACTAGGAAAGTATAAACAGGAGGGATCAGAAGTTTAAAGCCATTCTCAGCTACATTGGGAGTTCCAGGCCAGCCTGGGCTACATGAGTCCCTGTCTCAATCTTCCTCCGTAAACAAACAGCAAACAAGATTGATCATTCTTAGGGTTGTACAACTGTGAGTATACTAAAGACAATTTAATTGTACTCTTTAAAATGGGTGAGTTTTATGTTATGTGAAATGTCTCAGTGGAACTTATTTTTTAAAAGATTTGCATTGCAAGAAAAAAGATTTATATTGTAGCTTTTGAAATCTATTAAATGGGCAGTGGAATTGGAGCTAGGAATAAACCTGTGCATTGGCCATTGTACTGCTGGTTAGTGTACTTAGCAAGTTCTGTGTCAAAGATGAAGTCTACAAAAATACTTGATAGACTACAGTGTGCTCTTGAACAGATTGTTTTCTTTTTGTTCTGAGAGAGGGTTTTGCTGTGTAGCCCATGCTGGCCTCAAACTCCCTATTGTCCTGCCTTAGTCTCCCCAATGCTGAGATTATAGATGCCTGCTCCCACACCTGGCTCTTGAACAGATTATTGATAGTTCAGCTTATTCTAGTGCATTCTATTATATTTGTTCATTCAGTACATATAGGAATGACTTTTACAAAATGGACAGACTCTGGACTAATGACTTTTATTTAACCTTGCAATCAAAAAACTACTGCAAACAAGCTCAGTAGCCACATGCTCTTGTGACCTAGGCACCTAACCTCGATTCTTTGGAACCTTAATTTTCCCTCCACCCAAAATAGTGAATGAATGTGGGTAGACTTGAGAATTAACAAATCAAAGCACTGAACACAGAGTATTCATATTTGTACTCCCATTGGAAACAATGAAAATTTAGAAGAATGCTTAACATTGTATGTATGAGATGTTTTAGGCTTAGGGATGAAGAGGCAAGAATGTCTGATAAGATAAAGGCGGCTCCAAGCTTATTCTTCTCCAAGTTGTTACTGGAGAATAAAAGTATGCATGAGGCCTGGCTCTGGAGCACAGTTCCAGGAGACAGCTGGAGGACAGGTGCCCTCCAAGTTTGGGCCCACTCTTATAACTAAAGTTAAGAGTCAGGCTGTTTATTCAGGTGTAACTGTAATGTTGGCATAGTAATGCCACAAGTACCTACAACGAACCATAAGTTTGGGCACCAGAGAGGGGAAAAATGATATGTATACACAGTTGTTCCAGAAAATTCCTGTGTTTTTTCCAAAGATTATTAAAATGAAAACACTAAAATAAAACTATATGGGGGGGCAACTGGAGAGCTGGAGAGATAACATAAAGGTCAGTGAATTGTTTGGTTTTGTATTTTCTGTTGCTATGATAAAACGCCATGACAAAGGCAATTTACAGAAGGAAGAGTTTATTTGGCTTAAGATTCCACAGGGATAAGAATCCATCAGAGTGGGGGAACATGTCAGAAAAGGCATGGCAGGAGAAGTGACTGGCGCAGAAAGCTGAGTACTCAAATCTTCAAGTATTCACAGGAAGCAGAGAGACACTGAAAGTGGGGTAGAGCTGTGAACTCTCTACCCTACCCCCAATTATGGCTTTTGTATGTTGAAGCAATTGCTTTCTAGGAACCTATTAGGCTCTCTCCAGCAAGCCCACACCTCCTAAATCTCCCAAAACAATGCCACCAATTGACCAAGTGTTCAAATTCAAATGCATGCAGCCTTTGGAGGACACTTTTCATTGAAACCACATTCCATTCCCTGGCCCCCAGAGGCTTGTGCCCATATCATAATACAAAATGCATTTAATCCACCTTCAAAAGTCCCCTTAGTCTTTTAATAGTCTCAATACTGTTGAAAAGTCCAAAATCCAAAGTCTCTTTTGAGACTCAAGGCAATTTCTTTAACTGTAACCCCCTGTAAAAATCAAAAAGACAAATGTCATAGTTCCAAAATATAATGGCACAGAATATTATATATTTCTCTTCCAAAAGAGAGGAATGGGGTCATAGTGAGGAAATACCAAACCAAAGCAAAATTAAAAGACAGCAAGGCAAACACCCAAATCCTGTAGCTCCATATCTGATGTCTAGGACTTTAGTTCCAAAGGGCGATGGCTCAGCCCCTCCAACTTTGCTGCATGCAACATACATCTCTTACTTGGATTGGGTCTACTCTCTGTATGCAACTCTTCTTGGCAGATGTCAAGCTCTGATATGTCCAATCTCTTGGAGTCTCCACTGCAACTCAGGCTTCACTTTCACAGCTTAAACAACAGCCCCTCATGACCTCCTGCTCCCTCAAGGCCTTCATGCAGGGAATGTTGCCTGGCCTCAGTTGCTCTCTGAAACTGCAAAGGAAGAATCTTTGACCACCTCACTCTTGCATCCTTCATACTTCCAAGGCCAGTACTGTGTAGATGATACAGCTGCAAGCCTGGGATGAACATTTGCCCTCTTTGACCACATTAGCAGTAGCTTTTGTATGTTGAAGCAATTGTTTTCTAGGAGTAAGCAACCCATTAGCCTCTCTACTTTTACAAGTTAGAAGCTTAGCTGGGTGGGGGCTCACCCTGAGGGTGTCCTTCTCATTGTTCCTGTGCAGAGCAGGAATCCTTTCCTTAATGTCACTAAGCTCTTTAATACAGCCTCTGGGGCTGGAGAGATGGCTCTGCTGTTAAGAACACTGGTTATGCTTGCAGAAGACCTGGGTTCAAATGTGAGCACCCACATGGCAGCTAACAACTTGTCCATAACTCCAGTTCCAGGGGATCTGACAGCCTCTTCTGTCCTCCTGGGCATTGCACGACATGGGTGCACAAGGCAATATACACATACACATAAAAATAATAAAATATTTAAAAAAATACAGCCTCTCAGTGCATGCCTTGACTGTAACATTAATCTTCCTAGTGTTATTTTTCTCTCCAAATTGTACATTTTGTATTTCTTTCTGTCTCATTTGTTCCTTTTTCATTGTAGACCTACATAAGAAATGATAACCAATGATAACCATGTCACAGGTTCAATATTATACTGTTTTGAAATTTCTTTTGCCAAAAAACAGTCCATCACTTTTTAATTTAGTCTCAGGCAAGTTCTTAGGACAAAGGCAAAAATCAGATTGTTTACCAAAATATAACAAGAATGGCCTCTAGCCCAGTTGCTATTAAATCCTTGTTCCCTCCGAAACCTCTTGAACTGGGTCTCTACAATCCATATTACTCTCAGTGCTACTTACTTCTGGACTCCTAGTAGGATGGCCCACCAAGTTCTGCTTACAACATCAACTGCTTTTCTAGTCCAAAGTTCCAAAATCTTCTACATTGCTCCAAAAATCAACAGTCAAGTTCTTCAGAGCCATACCCTACTCCTAGTACTAACTTCTGTATTAGTTACTCTTCTCTTGCTATGATAAAACACTATGACCAAGGCAACTTTGGTTTACAGTTCCAGAGGGATAAGTCCATCATGGTGGGGGAGGCATGGTAGGAGAGGTGACTGGAGCAGAAAGCTGAGCATTCACATCTTCAAGCAATTGCAGAAAGCGGAGAGAGAAATTGGAAGTGAGGCAGGCTATGAACTCTCAAAGCCAACCCTAGTGACATACTTCCTCCAGCAAGGCTACACCTCCTAAACCTCCCAAAACGCCACCACCAGTTGACCGAACTGTTCAAATACATGGAGCCTATGGGGAACACGTCTCATTGAAACCACCACAGAATTCTTAGAGATTTTACAATCCAGGAATCTCAAAGTTGGATACATTAAAGATAAACATACACATTCATCTGTTAATTTCTCGGCTTGTTATGTGAGCTGGAATTGGGGAAGAGGAATTCCTAAACCTGGAAATTCAAGATTAAACCTAGATAGAGGTAATCACTCAGCATTTTTGCCAATTATTCATACCAACTTGCTTATACAGCTTGTATGACTTGATCAAGTGACTTATTGAGCCTTGGTTCCTCCCTCTTATGAAGATGAGTGGATAAATCATGTTATGCTATTATAGTGCTTGAGTAAGGAAAATGTAGGTGGAAAGAAAAGTTGGGCATTAATGATATTTAATTTGATGTGGGAAACAAAAGGAACATTTATTTCATTTATATTTTTTTCTTTTTTTGAGACAGAGTCTCCTAGTAGCCCCCAGCTAGCCTGGAACTCACTTTGTAGAGCAAGCTTGTGTCAGTCTCATAAAGATCTTAAAGGCATGCACCACCATGCCTGGCTCATTAATATCTGTAAATTGCATTTCAGGAAGCTAAAAATAAGGAACAAAATCAACCACAAAAATAAGCATTAATTCTAATATTTTTAAATATTTGTGTGTGTGT